GCTGCAGCGCGAGGATTGGATCAGAGCCAAATACGTGGAGAAGAAATTCGTCACCCGACTTCCGGGGGCGTGGCCTAAAAAGCCCCGCCCACCCCGCCACATCTCCCGAGTAAGCCCCGCCCCCCGCTGCTCACAGGCAACAGGTATTGGCGGAAAAGGACGGAGGGGCGGGGCTTGAAATGGAGGTGGGCGGGGCGGTTGTGAAGTGGGCGTGGTATTGAAAAATAGGTGGGCGGAGCTACAGGTCAGGAGAGCGCGAGAAATGGGCGTGTCCTATCGAAAGTGGGCGTGGCTTATACAAGCAGTGGGCGTGGCCAGTTTCAACCTGCATCATGTAGGGAAAGTGGGCGTGTCTGCGGGTTGTGGGCGTGGCCTGTGGGCATTGTGGGCGTGGCCTACAAACTGTGTGGCAAAGTTCTGCATGCAGCCTGTAGGGAATGAGGGCGTGGCCACGATTTGAGGGCGTGGCCTATGGACATAGTGGGCGTGGTCAGATTCTACCAATGGTCTCTAGGCCGAGTGGGCGTGGCCAGTGGGCACGGTGGGCGTGGCCACCTTCTTCATATGGGCATAGTGGGAGTGGCCATTGTTTGTGGGCGTGGTTTGTGGTACTGTGGGCATGGCTTAAGAAAATAGTGGGCGTGGCAAGGTTATGCAGAAAGGCTGTATTCAAAGTGGGCGTGGCTACGGGTTATGGGCGGGGTCTCTGGACATGGTGGGCGTGGCCAGGTTCTGCATGTGGTCTATTGGCAATGTGGGCGTGGCCGTGGTTTGTGGGCGTGGCCTGTCGTTATAATGGAGGTGGGCAGGTTCTGCACGCAGCCCCCAGAAAAGTAGGCGTGGCCTACTGGTACAGTGGGCGTGGCTGGAAGCGTTGTGGGCGTGGCCAGCTATGTGTCGGCGTGGCTTGGCCCCCATTTCGTCCCCATTTCTCCCCCCTTGCAGAGCCCGAGCCGCCCCCCAGTCTTCACCCCGGGGCTCTCCTCTACTGGGGGGCTCAGCACCGGCGTCTCCCAGCCATGGCCGATGCTTTGGCCCACGGCGCAGACCCCGGTTGGGCCAACGCAGCCGAAGAGCACCGCACACCCCTCCTGCAGGCTGTGGCTGCGGTAATTGGGGGGGGGGGGGGGGTTATCCCCTGAGGGAGAAACGTCTTGGGGGGGGGGGGGGGGGGGCCACCCACCCCCCAAACAAAGAGGG